CAGTAAATGTATTATAATGAAAAATATGAAAATAAAATATTAATAATAATTGTAATGAATTAAATAAATTCTAGTATTAAATGAATCTTAGAATCACTATAATAATACTCGTAATACTGTCATAATACTGTATACATACTATTGCACACACACACACACACACACACACACACACACACACACACACACATATATATATATATATATATATATATATATATGTAATTGATAAATGTGTTCGCGTAGACATCCTTTCTAAATTTACGCCTACCTATCTTCCGGCATATTTTCTTTGGACTTTCGAATACACATGCCGGTAGACATTAAATATACATTGTTAAAAAGATGTCTACAATACGCAGATCCACTATAAAATCCATTAATTCCTTATTCATATATACATACATAAAAACATGCATACATACATACATACAAACATACATGCATACATACATACATACATGAATACATTCGTATATCTTTGTAAACGCGGTCTCTCCCCAGTCTTGAGCATGCTTCCCCAATAAATATGACAAAACGTAAACATATATATATATATATATATATGTGTGTGTGTGTGTGTGTGTGTGTGTGTGTGTGTGTGTGTGTATGTATCTGTGCGGGTGTGCGCATGTGTGTGTGTGTGTGAGTGCTTATATTTGAGAGATTTTAAGTTAGCGAATGGTTAGCGTTGTTGCTCAGGAGACAAAGATTTATATCGAAAGCCTTTTTAAAGCTGATGTATATTTAAGTAATCTAAAGTAGATACGAATAACATAATCCGTAGCGCAAGGTGGTTACCGTCCTGTGGACTCGTTCTCTCTCCTTTGCATCCTTCCCGACATCTAACGGCCGATGCAAATTTAGCGTCCTCAAGATTTCTTCGAGGAATGCTGCGGTCGTAAGTCAGTTTCGGGTTAATCACGAGGCACCGGTTGTTGCCATCGTGCTGAATCAACGCATCTTACCATTCTTTGCATAGCCATCTTCAAACTGAGCAAAGATAATAAGGTTTTTAGTCACTTTATTCCAAGCAAGGCAATAAAGCCACCAAGACTCAACGGGTTACTAAGTGCGAAAATCTACGAGAAAAAGGAAACATTATTAAAGAGAGAAGGCAATAAAAGAAGCGGAATTAAAAATACTTCAATCTGAACAAAGATAATACATTCTTTTAATCATTTCACTTCAAGCAAGGCAATAAAGCCACTAAGACTGAAGTGGGGTTACTAAATGTGAAAAAAATATGAGAAAAAAATTATTAAGGAGAGATGGCAATAAAAGATCAGGAATTAAGAATACTTCAAGCTGAACAAAGATAATACATTTCACTCCAAGCAAGGCAATAAAGCCACTAAGATACAAGAGGTTACTGAATATCAAAAATACAAGAAAAAGAAAAACATATTTAATGATAGAAGACAATAAAAGAACAGTCATTATGCGACAAACAATAACGATTGAGATTGTATTTAAATTTTTGAAGATCAAATTTGGAAAGCATGAAGCCGGGAGAGAGTTCCACAAGAGAGAAGTGCGAGAGAGAAAAACATAGAATATTTGGTTACATCCAGCAATTTCAACTGTAAAATGATAAGACCTTGATGCCGATCTAGTCTTCATCTTTATGTGCTGTGTCACACCAGGACATGAGCGATCGTGACTCTCCACAACTTCCTGTCTATATTTTTCTGTTATTTCTCCTAAGCCCTGTTCAGTTTTCCATTTTCACAAGCTCACTAACTAGTTGGCTTAAATTCATAAAGTCGAGAGGGCAAAGAGGATAGCTTATCAGAACAATTACCATAAAATATTCATATAAAAAGCACAGGAAAGCAACCTGATGACAGAATGCCATGTCAGGACCGATAACATTGCAGATATATCTTTTGATTTGGTCAAGAATCATTAGATACATAGCAGAAGAAACAAATTTAACGTCATTATACGTGGAAGACACAAATACTTAAGACAAAATCTGGCGTGAAAAATATAAAGCAATTAAAAATATAAAAAGATAAAAAATTACACACGTAGAGAGGTTGGGGATGTAAAATGTGTATAGTTTATGAAAAACTAGGTAATCCGTATGGTAAACCCAAGGAGGATAAAATCCAGAGAGCTCAATGTAAATCCAGAGCAAATAATTTAAATAAAAACAGACCACTTTAAGGTTCCATGTAATAATTTCACCACAGCACTTTTAAAAGGACTGCAGATCATCAGACTATTTAAATTATATATGATATTATATAAAAAGATTACTTGTTTTTAAATGATATTTCCAATTTTTTTTCAGTTTATTCCTCGTTCTTTTCAATTCGTTTTGTACACGTGTGCATAATAAATTGAAAACAAAAATGGAAATATCCTTTAAAAGACATAACCCCTTGAAGAATAGACATTAGCAAGAAACTTCGAAGTCGGGGAAAACTACAAAAAATTTATATTTAAAGTTAAGTAATCTTTTTATATAATGTTATTAATATAATATTATTAATGATCTGTTTTTAATATGTTTAATATAGAATACTATATATAAAATATTTGTTGTTACTTAAATCTTTAATCTTATATATATATATATATATATATATATATATATATATATAGATATGAGTTTGTAACCTCGGATTCACGCTTTGCGATCATCTGATGATGGCAAAAGCGTGAAACCCAAGGTCAAAAACTCATATCTATACAACTAAATATGCAAGCTCTATAACTATCCAATAAGTACCGCGCATATATATATATATATATATATATATATGTGTGTGTGTGTGTGTGTGTGTGTGTGTATAGAAATTATATATATATGTGTGTGTGTCTGTGTGTGTGTGTGTGTGTATGTGTGTGCAACAAATGTGTATTTGGCAAGCAATAGATATGTTTTTATATATGTGTCGTCGGCGATTATGGCTATCTATCTATCTATCTATCTATCGCTGTTTGTGAGGTGAATTATCGAATAAGTCCACATATCCTTCGAATTGTGTACATTGAAATGTTTCCATTTATGAAGTCAAAATTAGTATTTATTGTACAATTTGAAAATATAACTGCCTTCCTTATTTCAAGGTGATTTCTAGCCGATTATATATATATATATATATATATATATATATATATATATATATTGAAATACTAGCAAAATAGAGTAATCCTATGGCTGATCGCATAAATCTTTTTATCGAGAGATTTTGCAGTTGCCCACGAACAAATCGCTGATCCCCATTTAATCAGGCTTTACGAAGATTAACGTTGAACGCGGGAAGAAGCGAAACCTAGTGTCTATGCACTTACATGGCGGAGGTGCATTTCACCCTGATTCAGTTGCAATTCTTTGGGTGGGGAAACTGGGACAGTATTGACGGGCAAATAATGCACTCGGTGTAGGCGCGAATCAAAGAATTAATGAAGAACTATTTGGAATTCGATCAAGCCATCACTTTCCCATCTTCAGATTATATTGCGTCGGAACCAATATCCGTAAAGTAATTTTTAGTGAATTTCAATGATTTTTTTTTTATAGTAACGTTCATCCAGTACTGAGAGCCACTCGTGGTAGACGGTTACTGAGTAAGAGGCACAGTTTATGCGGATACGTGGGTAAGATAATGGTTAAACCTAAACATGAACAGGTTAAGATTGTGGAGATCAGAAAAACATCCTCTTGGGAGTCAGTTCCATAGAGCAGTGGTTTGCAGGAAGATTCTATACCTGGTTATAAATCAGAGTTGTGTTTCTCCTAAACAGGAAGGCAAACAAGGATAACTTGGACTCAGTAGAAACAAGACAAGCAATAAGATGAAGACCGGAGATCAAAACGATCGAAACGTTGTGATAACATCAAGAAAAACGGGGACAATAGTCCGAATGTAAATAGTAAAAAAATTGCATCTACCGGCCTGTGAATTCGAAAGTCTTAATAATGACTAACTTTCGGCTGATAATAAATTGATAGATGTAGAGAGCCGAGATAAAGAACAGAGCATTTAAAAAATATTTTCTTATTAGTTTACGTTTACACTACATATGAGACAGATTGCAAAGTATCGTTAATGAATTAACTAACTGAAAGATGAGATGTCTATGTAACTATGTATCTATTATATGTATACTAATGCCATGACTTACTGGGAAAATTAGTGGTGTGATATCCTTTAAGCATCTCTACTGTTTTTTTTTTTAGTAAGACTTTCAAATGTACATGCCGGTAGACGTAAACGTACACTATTTAAAAAGCAGGGATATCTACGTATCTATGTATAGTAATGACATGGCTTATTGGGAAAATTAGTGACGTGATTTCCTTTTGCCTTCTCCACTATTTCGAATTCAGGAATCCTTTTTTTTTTAGTGTGTATGCCACCCAAAAGCTAACAAGCCTAGGCTCACTCTGCTATTTAACCCACAGCTGGGGGAACAGGAGTTTTGTTGTGTTCATGCTTTCCCTAAGGTCGTTACTGCGAAAGTCAACGCAATACAGGCTGGCGGAATTTGAAATCGGTTCAACGATTACACCTTCCTTACAGGCAACCGTTACACTCCTCTCCGGGCACCTGGGATCGTTTACCGGATGAAGACGGCACGTTGATGAAGATGCTGCGCCGCCACTGTTCGTCTTCAAGCGTAACAGTATTGCAAAGGAGAGTGCGACTTGCCTTTTCTTCCGAGCAATCATTCAGGATGTAATTATAATTAGTGACGGTCAAGTCATATGATAACTGCATTTGATGACTTAATTTAATTAGCTACGAATTGGTTGTCTTGGCTCATTTGGTAAATTTCTGTGAATGGACTGGCTTGCAAATGAGTTGGCGCGTGTTCAAGTCGGTCAATGCTGATCGATTGAACAGAAACAATTACAGATATAGATTGAAAGATATTAGTAGGGGGAGATAGATAGATAGATAGATAGATAGATAGATAGATAGATAGATAGATAGATATAAACAGACTGAGATAGCTAGATAGCTAGATAGATAGCTAGCTAGCTAGATAGATAGATAGATAGATAGATAGATAGATAGATAGATAGATTGATATGTAGATAGATAGATAATGAACAGTTTGAGATAGATATAAGCAGACTGAGATAGATAAAAATGAACAGACTGGCATTTATATATATATATATATATATATATATATATATATATATATATATATATATATATATATATATATATATATATATATCTAATTAGCTAATAATAAGATCTATCTCAGTCTGTTCATCTCTCTCTCTGTCTCTCTCTCTTATTCACTCACTCACTTTCGCTTTGTTTTTTTTAGTTTGTTTGTTTGTTTCTTTCTTTCTTTCTTTCTTTCTTTCTCAGAGTCTGTTCATATCTATCTTAGCCTGGCCATCTCTCTCTCCTCAGCTTCATATCTATCTATCTATTTATCTATCTATCTATCTATCTATCTATATATATATATATATATGTATATATACCCATATATATAATTATTTTAAAAAAATATGATTCCTTCGCTACATAAGAGTTCTCATGTTTGAAAAACGAGAGCCGAAAACCTCAATATAATTATTAAAATTAAATTGAATTAAAGTACCAAGCCCTATTTCATCTTCAAGCGAAAATTTTATATACATATATATATATATATATATATATATATATATATATATATATATATATATATATATATATTTAAATTAATTACATCCCAAAAATCAAACCCCATGAAAATGGTAAGGAATAAGCCATAGGTGCTTGAAACAATGGACAATTTTTGCCCTCCTCTACTCCCACCAAACTGAAAAAAATGTAAGAATGCTGAAAAAACTCATTAAAAAAATAATTAAATTTTCCTTGTCAAGTTCAGCGAAACATGTTTAAAAGAAAAGTTGCTGCCTAAATATGCATTTAATTGATTAAAAAAAATTACATTTGAATTTAAATTTGAAATTTAATTGATTAAGAAAAATTACATTTGAATTTTCCTGCTACAAACTTAAATTTATTTCTACAATTGATTGACACTGTATCTTGAGGTCTGGAGTGTAAAACAATTGTTGAAATAAATTTAAGTTTATAGCTGGAAAATTCAAATGTAATTTTTTTTTTTTTGAAATTTTTCTTAATTAATTCTACTGCTCTTTATTCGTTATTATTCTCAGACATTCAGTTATCTACTTGGAGTTTTACCTGGATATTCTCATCACCTTTGGATTATCCATATAACCAAAAGATATATATATATATATATATATATGTATGTATATAAATAAAAAGAAAGAACAGTAAGATATAAAATTAGCTGTGTATTTAAAACCCGGTAAATTTTAAAAGTTACTCCAAAATTCGCTTGAAGATGAAATGGAACTAATGCTTTTAATTTATTTGCAAAAATAAAATTAGGGTTTTTAGCTTCTATTTTTGAAACATGGTTGGAACTGTGTAGCGAAAATAACCATATTTTAAATCAATTAATTTATAATATATATATATATATATATATATATATATATATATATATGTATGTATGTGCGTGTGTGTGTGTGTGTGTGAAGCTGAGGAGAGAGAGATGACAAGGCTAAGATAGATATGAACATATTTCTGAGAAAGAAAGTAACAAAGAAAGAGAAAGTGAGTGAGTGAGTATGAGAGAGAGAGAGAGAGAGAGTGATATGAACAGGCTGAGATAGATCGCTTACTAGCTAGCTAGATAGATAGAAAGATAGAAACTTTGAGAAAGAAACAAAGAAAGAAATAAAGAGTGAATGAGAGAACTGACTGGGCTAAGATATATAGATATGAACAGGCTGAGCTAGAGCTAGCTCGGTAGAATGAGAAAAGAACAAAGCGAGAGTAAGTAAGTGAGTGAGAGAGAGAGTGGGGGGAGAGAGTAAGAGAGAGAGAAATGACCAATCGAAGATAGATAGATATGAACAAGCTGAGATAGATAAATAGATAGATAGAATGAGAAAGAAATGAAGAAACAAAGCGAGAGTGAGATAGACAGAGAGATAGATAGATACAGAGAGAGGGGGGAATGACCAGTCGAAGATAGATAGATCGATATGAACAAGCTGAGATAGAGAGAGAGAGAGAGAGAGAATGAGAAAGAAACAAAAACAAAGCGTGTGTGTGTGTGTGTGTGAGAGAGAGAGAGAGAGAAATGACTAGTCGAAGATAGATAGATATGAAAATGCTGAGATAGATAGATAGATAGATAGATAGATAGATAGATAGATAGATATATGGATGGATGGACAGATAGATATGAATATGCTGAGATAGATAGATAGATAGATAGATAGATAGATAGATAGATAGATAGAATGAGAAAGAAACAAAAAAAAAGCGAATGTGTGTGTGTGTGTGTGAGAGAGAGAGAGAGAGAGAGAGAGAGAGAGAGAGAGAAATGACCAGTCGAAGATAGATAGATATGAACAAGCTGAGATAGATAGATAGATAGATAGATAGGATAGATAGATATATGGATATATATATATATATATATATATATATATATAGAGAGAGAGAGAGAGAGATAGATAGATAGATAGATAGATAGATAGATAGAATGAGAAAGAAACAAAGAAAACAAAGCGAGTGTGTGTGTGTGTGAGAGAGAGAGAGAGAGAGAGCGGGAGAGAGCAAGAGAGAGAGAGAGAGAAGCAGACCAGGAGAGACAGATAATCGCAAATTTCAGTGAACTGTAGCCTGCTAAACGACTGTAGTGGAGTGAAACGTAAAACGTAAGAGATTTAAACACGTTGAATTCGTTTTTCTAAGCTGCTACTATGACACTGACAAACAAACCTTGCCTTCTATGTCTCTCTGGCATCTTTCCTGCCTGGGCAACCGCTACCTTGCTCCCGCTTCGGAAAAAAAAAACTAGGAGCATTCCCGTGTCTGTGTGCTCGTATCGCCATTGTTGAGCGGATCAGAAACGAAATGCTTATCAGAGGCAATACTTTGTCGTCTCCTTAATATTTGGCGATTTGCAGGACGCTGGAAAATAGAGTATATTCTTAGTTTCTGGCTGTTATCATTGAAATGTACATTCTCTATAAATTCCTGTGTAGACATGCATAGGGAAATATAATAAATACAGTTCTTTTTTTAATGTCATGTCTCTTCAGGAAGTGGGGATCGTGGCCATCCACAGCTTCCTTTTGTCTTTAATCCATATCCTATATGACTAGTTCCAGACAAGCGTCGGGATCTCATTAATTTACAGTTGAGCTGGCTAGATATAGCCGTAAGTTCTATGCTAAGAGTACCTTTTCTCGCACTTCTCACTTGTGGAACTCCCATCTGGGTGCATGTTTTTCAGCCAACTTTAATCTGCAAAAAT